AAAAGTATGTGTCGAGTGACAAGCAAAAGGATAAGAGTAAATTAAAAATACATCGCAACATAATTTACGCTTAAGATTGCTTTGATCACAGGCGAGATACAGGGCAACCGCGATACCTCGTGAAATATCTCTCGTCACACGTTCTAAAGTAACGGTCTTGCGAGAAAAGGAAAACTATACGTGGAATATATATATATATATATATATATATATATGTTATATATGTATGTATATTCGTTAAAAACCTCGGCACTTACGCGTTCGTTGGGCGTGTACGGAAACGAGAAACCACCCGGAATTCCCTCTAAACCGACTAAAGAGTAAGGAGAGCACCTAGACCGTGTGACGGAAAGAAGAAAATGTTGGAGAGTGGGTTTCGGCCCCCTATATATACCGTGTCCTCGTCGTCAAGCATACCGATATACAAAATCATGCGTTAGGAGTTCGTAAAACGATACGGTGGTGAACGGTATTGTCGTTAAAAAATATCATTAGTTTTTGTTCAAATACGTTTGGCAAGCATGCGCTTCGCTGGATTTGGAAGATCGAATCTTCGAGCGGGCAATTAAATAAAGGACAACTATGTGAAAATGACGTGACGACTACGAGAGGACGGTTCGCACTTTCCTCCAACGTGCCTCCCATTGCGACTTGTTTCTTCTGGCGGTCCATCCGAGCCCGAGTCCGAGCCCGAGTCCGAGTCCGAGTCCGAATCCGGAACCAACAATGACTTTGTTCAAATAAGCAAAGTTGTTGTGTTTGTTATTCGTCTGGCCAGCGCCCGAATGAAGGCTGACCAGATTAACCGCGTGTAAAATTCGAACGGCGGACGAGAGTCGTAACTTGCTTGCCGGAGAACTAAACACCAACTTGCGGCACTGTTTGTTGTTACAGGTGTCCCCGGTATCGCTACCGCTATGCCAGTCGCTCGACTGTTTCGCCGTGTGGGAATAGTCGGTGCAAAATGATTTCACCATTGATCATTGCCGATACGCTTGAGACGATATGCCGTTACCAGGTGTCACGTAATCGCCGATCATCAAACTGGGATTCACTGGATAATGCGAGGTATTGCCAAGGACCAGCGATTGCTGGAAAGTAACACCAAGCTGTAGCGCGAAAGACCACGCAGGCAGGCGTACACTTTAGTATCCTTTTGCACATTGATATACGAATGAGTTTAGCGAGCTATTCTGCACAGACGTTTACTTTCTTTTCTTTTCTTTTCTTTTCTTTTCTACACGAAACAAACTGTTGCACACATTTACACACGGTGTATTCGAATAGTTGTCCATCCCACCACACGTCTTTCTCTCTCTCGCGCGTGTGATGGCATGGAAAAATATTCATCGAGCCGGTGTATAGAACTTGGAAGGTAGCTAGCTCGCTGGAAATTGAAATCGTCTTTATCGTAAACTTACCGTAGCGGGAGAAGTGAACATGTTCGGAGTAATTCCACCGCCTATTAATTGGGCTGCTTGCGTGCTCGTCGCCGTGCCACCTACTCGCCCTCGGCCGGTGCTCGAAATTGAACCGGGATGAATATTTGGTTGGCCTCCTGAAGATTACACGGTAAGTTAGACGAAAGGTTGCTAGCATGGGGAATTAATTTGTAAACGTGCCGGTTATTCGAATAAATGAAATCATCTGTATAGACGTTTGTGCATTCTATGTATACCTGGAATAAAAGGTCCGATATAAACCCGTATACTCTCGGACAGCCTTAACCTACGTTCTTACCTATCGCGAGTAAATTTCCGGGATTTACTGCAGTTGCATCCATAGAAACTTCGCCCAGACCGTTCACCGACATTCCGTTGACCATGTTAACTGCTTGCCTAGCACCCTGTGCATCTAAAGTCGTCCAGTAGGATTCACTGGGCGAGGTATTATTTAAACCCGGAGGCGGTTGTGCCGCTGCACCTGTATATCTGAAGTATGGATTCTTCAAATCCAACGTATTACTGCTGCTTTCCATGTTTGTCCCTTCTAGCTTCAAGTCTATCGTTACGTCGTACGATTGTCTAAAATTCATACATTTTTGTAAAACTCACTTTCGTAGAGGTACACGCGTTAACCTTTACAACGTTCAGCTATCGTGTTGATATCGTTATACAATTTCACCTTTTGTTCGCTATAAGAATCACCTTCCCAGATAACAGCTGACCACTTTTACAGAATAACGGATTCTCCAAGAGGCAACGCACTTGATACCAATGCGTTAGAGGTTCCGTGGGAGCTGTGCTTAACCAAACTTGTTGCGTTGAACCGATAAATGCAACGTCAAACCAAAATGCAAGCCCGTGACACGTGCCACTTTCTAGTATATGAAAATCGACATCGATTTCTGCAAAAACAAACGATATATCGAGTACGTTTCGTTATACGTGCTTCTATAAGATAGAGCCGTATCGAACAAAGACACGAGTGTTCACCTATTTTATGTAAATCAGTCTCATTAGCAGTTTGGAAGTCTACTATATGTCTGATAGACTTAGCCATACAAATTCTTATATCAAAAGTGTCGACGATTGGTTGTCTAAAATATTCTTTCATCGCATTGTTCCTCATTGCGGAAAGATCTACACCGTGGAAACAGGTTTGATACCAAAAATTAGCTTTATTAAATTGTTCCATATAAAGGTTCTCGTCGGAAAACGGTGCGATGTGAAGATCACCGCGCAAAGGAAACATCCTTCCACCTGTATCAATATCGTGTCAGCTATAGAGAAAGAAATTAAATAGAAATTTATAAAATGTTCGCGAGTATTTACCTGGTAGTAACCATTTCTTTGCATGGAGATAAGTTTCAAGCATTCTTTCATTGTATAACATATAACCCATCGGTTCGCTTACTATACAATCTACTAGTTCGGGTAATTCAATTTCTTCTATTTTACCAGCTATGACGATAATTTTATCCGATAAATTATTCGCAGCAACGAGCAGTTCCGCGTGATTCGCCATGTTACTCGCTTCTACCGCGTACACTTTCTTCGCGCCTGCTTGAACCGCGAAGAACGACAATATTCCAGACCCTGCGCCTACGTCTAACACTACTTTGTCCTTAAAATCTGACAGATTTCCCAGAATTGCTCTCTGGTATGTACTAGTTCTAATGTAATCCTGCATCATGTTTTGTTGCTGCGAGAGGTAGCCGTAAAACTGAAAATACTGCATCGCGGAAGATTCTTCTGTTCTTTCGTTAAATGCAGACACGCCTTTGCCATTCTTCAGTTTCAGTATTTGCGAATGAAAGTTTCGAAAATCTGTGTAAAGAGTATTCGTATTAATAGCCTATAGTAATATAATTTCTTCGATTGGCATACCTGTTTCACTGGCAAGCGTTACAAGTAAACTATCCGTGTCTAATGTGAATACGTAACTTCTCGACGATACTCTAGAGCATTCGGTACTAGGTGTTACTGGAAATTCCAATAATGTCGCCTTTTCTCTTCCATTCGAGTCCCCTGTCGTGACAGGTAAGAACAAAAAGACTAGAATTATTTCCAACTACAAGATATCTCGTAAAATATTCCAAATTTATGTTAATTTTCTCCTAAAAAGAAAGTGCATTCGACAAATTTTGCACTCTTCGATGTTCCCTTCAACCGTATCGATTGAAACGCAAAGAAAAAGGTCTGCTGTTGTTACAAGCGAGTATATCGGTAACAGTATAAACAAAAAAAATCTTAAACTCGCGCTTTTCAGAATATAATGGAGAAATACATTTTGAGGGATGAATCAAAAGCAAAATGTAAAGCACGCTCCGTTAT